ACATATTCTACTTTGACTATATTTTATTCATTAATGTATTATAAATTAATTTTTTTAAAAATATTATTAAATTCTTCTCATTCTAAAATTTCAAAATATGAATTTTTTGAATTTTTTACTAATAAGGAATGAAAGATATTAATGATCAAACTTGTGCGTTGGCAAACGTGAAATGTTGACTGTTGCAATTAAAAGGGAACGGAGGAAGTACTCCGTATATGTGGAACGGAGAGACTAAAGTATACGAAGTATAGGACTATAGGAGTATTTATCATGATGATGATAATAATAAAACAAATATTCTTTCATAAAAGAAAAATAATGAAACAAACATGATACGGAGTACATGATACGTTAGTACGGACAATAAAAGGGGTCAAAAGGGGTGTACCTCCATACTTTGCTAAAGCGGGTAGGGCCCAGGGAAGGTCACGACTCGTACCGTCTCTTACTGGACCGGAGCTAACTCCCTCCCCAACAAAATGCTTGCCCAGCCCAACCCCTCCTCGGATTATCTCTAATTACATACTAACTCTCAAATTATGGATACAATAAAAGTAATTAGGTGAGATTTAGGGAGTGTGCAGAACAGGCACATGTGTGAATACATTTACACATTTGTTTAGGAAAAGTTTTTATGTTTCACAATTCCAAAATAATACTGCTATGTTTTTATTCTCGAAATAGAAATAACATGGCAGTATTTACTGCCACATTTGAATCATTACTGTCAAAATAGTTGAAGTACTTGACATTAACATGATAATATTTATTTATGTTAATGACAGTGTTTTTCAATCATAGCAATAACCGGGATTGGTTCTGACACTGTGCAAGAGGTGCGGGCGAACAAGGCCCCAATTTGATGGAGGACAACTGTTTTTTATAGGGATAAGGGTCAGTTAAAAGCACAGTTATCTTCAAGAATTCATTTGAATATCTTCCCGATTGAATTGTTAGTTCAAATTTGATATGAGTAAACTAGACTTAATGAATAAGATTCTCAAAAAATTTCATCAAAAAATTCCACCGGGAACTGCCCCAAATGGCGTCAGCCGGACATAGCATCCTAAATATGACCTTTCTGACATTTTTTTCCAAGTTCGAGGCCCTATCTGACCCTTATCCCTTTTTATACCTTTGTAAGAGTCGTGTAGAGAGAAAGTACTAGTATTATTACCAAGCTTTGGTTTTCAACGGTACTACGTAATATTCTTACCAAGCTTTGATTTTCCTTTGTTATGGGCTTATGGCCTATGGATATATTAACTTTAACCCATAATTTTATGAGAATAAAAACATAGCAGTATTATTTTAGAATCGATAAGCATCCACATTGATGATCTTCAACTTTACGGTTTTTCATGACTTATTATTGCCATGTCACCTTCACATAAGATAATCTCAAATAATCTCCAAACCAATAAATTTCTCCTCATTCATAATCTTAATTTACCTTGGATAGGAGCGTGAGCATGCACGAACTACAAAGCTAGTCATCACCATAATTATAAGTATATGCCTAGAAGTTGGAAATAATCTCAAAATAATTCAGCTTTGGAATTTGATACCAGATTATTTTATCAAATAATATCATAAAATTATCTCAACTCCTCATCCATGATCCCCAAAAAAATCTTCCACATCATCAAAATGATCTCAAAAATAATCTATGGATGTGGATGCCCTAAACCTTGATTTTATAAATTTATCGATTCCTTTCATCTTCCAACCTCATAGATTCATTTAACGTAACCTATCCAAGAATAATCAAACAAAATGATTCTCTTCAATTTGTCATTTGTTAGTGTTCTCTTTGGCTTATATGTAATTGTTCATCTCCCCAAATTTATTGTGGTGTAGACTGTAAAGGCGGTCAATCCTCTTAGGCCTTTTATTTAGTTTTGAACATGTTCTTCAATATTTCAAACCGATAGTGACGGTAAGGACTTCTATTATATCTCATTTCAATTGGGCTAGTTTCATTTTTTGGATTTCATATCTTAGGATTTTATGCTTGCCTTTGGTACCCCACAATTTAGAGATCATTTATGGTTCAACTCTTCACAATTTATCAATGAATATTGAAGCATGGCCAGGGGAGGATCTATGTTAGGGCTATGGTGGGCTGAAGCCCAGGGCAAAGTAAAAAAAATTAATTTTTTTAAGGTATTATTTTCACAAAATTCTATCCAGCCCAGCCCAAATTTTTCTATAGCCCAATCCAATTTTTCAGCCCAACCCACAAAACAAAATCATTCCATCTAAAAATCTAATCTTAATGTTATACGAATTACCTCCCACTTAACAAGAGGCACTTTTGTACATCGTATAAGGGCCGTAAAGCCCAAAAGAAATAAATGTAATAAATACAATAAAATATGATTCAAATATGATTCACATCAACTTGTAAAGTGTTTGAGTATATTCAAGAACATTGTCCAAAAGTGAGTTCTTGGGCAGAAGTTCATAGTGTATATAGACACTTTCCATGTTTTGAATTTGTGTTCAATTCACTTTTGATATAACGAGTATTCTTTGTCAAGACCTTCAAACAATTATTGGATATCTTGATAGCAATGAGACATGTTTCTACTACACAACTCATTCTCGGGGAAGTGACATAAAATGGATGTGAAGGCTTTCTTGAAGAAGCAAAGGAGTTTTGCTCAAAAAAGAAATTCTTGTACCGAAATTGAATTCTAAATATATGGTTGGTCATTGCCGAAAAGAAACTACAGTTGAGCATTCATTATCACTTTGATGTTTTCAATGAGGCAATAGACTTTGTATTGTTGAAGTTAAGGACTCGGTTTAATGATAAATCAATGGATCAAACTCCTTTCTTTGAGTGCTTCATTGGATCCAGAAAGTTCATATGTGTCATTCAATGTCGATGCTATTTGTAATCTCTTGCAAGGAAGTTCTATCCCGAAGGTTTTAGTAATGCTTTTGAATTCGAGCGACAACACTATGCTCATGATGTGATTCATGATACAAAGTTGCGAGTATCTACACTTGTTGAATTATGTGAGCAGTTGACTAAGAGCAAAAGATCTGTTTCATATGTTATGATCAACATATTGATTCGCTTTGTATTGATCTTATTGTTTTCACTACAACAATAGAATGGTCATTTTCTGCCGTGAAACTTTTAAAGACAACACTCCGCGACAAAATGGATGATGACTTTTTTGTTAATTGCAATACACTTTATATTGAAAAAGGTCATACTCTTAGTATAGATGTAGACTATATAATTGACGAGTTTTTTTGTTTCAAAGCTTCGTCGAGAACAAATTTAGTGGAGAACTCTTATATATATATTTTTTTGCTTATTTTGAAAATTTTTAATGTATTATCAATTAAGTTTTTCAGCCCAGTCCAACATGAAATCCTGGATCCGCCCCTGAGCATGGCCCAATGAATAAAAGAAACACATCATTTTTTTAATATTTTCTCATTATTTGAAATTCTACTCTATGGCCCATAATATTTTTCAGAATCTTTGCCAAAAAACTATTGTGTTATTTACCATCTCTATCAATTTATCAACTTGTGTTTGGATCGCTCAAAAAAACTACATCACTTTTCTCTCAAGTAACCAAAGTGTTATCTCAGGATGCTAATCAAGCAAGTCAAGTTTGAGTTCGGCTTGGATCGAGTTAGACTTGATAAAGAAACGAATTCAAGTCAAGTATTTAGTCGAGTAAAAAAATCACGGTTTGATTCGAGTTGAGTTCGAGTTTGAGCTGGGTTGTATTCAAGTTTTACATATTCAAGAAAATCTTAAATAAAGAGTTTGATTTGTTATTGGTCTAAATACATGTGAGCAATCATCAATATTTTTTTAAACATAAAAACATTGTTTTAAACTTAAGATGAACTAAATTCAATTGATCCTGCTACTTAAATCTGCTTGAGTGTTGTCTGAGAATGCCTATATTATGCATAACACTTTTAGAATATCGGTTAAAACGTTGAGTAATACGTGAATCTCTAATGTACTTTTATTAGAAGATAAGTATAGGTGATTTTTTAAAGATAAGTATAACTATGAGTTAGTGTTGTTGATTATTTTATTCATTTATATGACATAACATCATATATTTGTAATATGAATCCATCCATTTGAATTCCGTTCGACTCGAATCAAACTAAGTCGATCCTAAGTAACATACAAACTCGAGTAACTTATCAGGACTTGCTTAATTAACACCCTAGAATTACAACCACATATATTGTGCTCGGCAGTTGGACACCACTTTTACTATAAGCAGTGTGATTTCTATGTATTGTTACAATTGTGACAATAATGATCTGCGATGAGGTGGCAATTTATTTTTACAAAACGGAAAAACATAAAATAACATTTTATGCAAATAGAATTATGATGGTATCTATGTGGTCTTGTTGGTGTAAGGATGTTTTTACTTGGACCAAAAGTTCCTTGTCCGTTAAAGTCTAATTAGGTTTGAACTGATATGATCTGATAGATGTCTATTTTTGTGTACTTTTTAATTGTTTAAATCTGGTCTGCTATGATTTGTTTAAGTATGATTAGATCTGATTCGATCTAGTCTGGGACTAAAATAAGTACAATTAAAAACATCCTAACACATTAATTGCAGCAGTAAGGATGTTTTTATTTGCAAACCAGACAATATATGATCATAACACAACAAACTAGACTTAAACAAGCTAGTCTAGACTTACAAATATTGGATTTAAACATACTGCATCAACTTCAATAGTTATAAAATACACAAATATCAAACATATATCAGATCACACTATACTAGACCAAATTTGATTAAACTAGATGTATTCTTTTTTTGAAATCGAAGTCCTAGCACATATTTAGGTTTACACAAAAGTATACAATTGGCTCATACACCCAAAATCGGTGAGACATTACCATTTGCCTAACCCGGACCTCCCCAAACTCCATTACAATAGAGATGTGCCCCATTACTTGTTCCCACACCTCCTCCCACCACACCGACAAGAACCTCAAGCCCAAAACCCCCCGAAAACCAACCCGATCAAGAACCTCAAGCCGAGCAACATGAACCCGAGGCTGTACTTCACCACATTCCCAAACAGAACCAAGTCCCTCCACCACCCGATTACTTCCAACAACTACTTGAAGGATTCAACAAAGTTACCAATGAAGTTGGAAGATATCGGGAGGAACAAAGGGCAGGATTTCAAAGACTTGAGGAGCAACGGGCCGAAGACAACCGAAGGTACGAAGAAGATCAACGTAGGTTCTATGGACCTATGTACTCTTACATGGCTCATCAAGGCTCCTTCCACACTATGGCTCAACCACCCCCACCCCCCTCTTGGTATGACCCCACTCAATAGGGTAACTTTGGAGGATCTAGCTCTGGGGGTGGAGGTTATGATGGTGGAGACGACGGAGATGCTCACATGGGCGACGGGAGCTTCGGAGGCGGCTTTGGAGGAGGCTTTGGAGGCGGCTACTATAGCGGCGAAGGTGGGCACTAGGGACAGTGCTTGGACTAAGAAGGGGGAAGACTCCTCATGGTATGTAATTTTATTTTCTACCCTTTACTATGCATGAACTTTCTTTTACTCTTCGTAAACAAAAAAAAAAGAAATAAAAGAAAAAGGAAATGCTAGTTAGGTTGAAAACCCAAAAATGGGCAATCTAAGCAAAAATGGCTTATAAAAAAATGAGTGAGTTAGGGAGGATGGAAGAACAAAAAGAGATGCTAGGATGAAAACCTGAAAAGGCTCCTAGGGAAAATGAGAGATAAGAGAGAAATATTTGTTGTGTGCAAGAACTCATTTGATCTCTTGGAAGAAAGAGGAGAAGAAAAGAAGAAGAGAAGAAGAAAAAGAGGCAAGAAGATGGAGCATAGAAGATCATAAAACCCAAGAAAGAATGTACTTTGTAAACTCATTTTTATTTCTTGGTGATCTTAGTTTCTTTCTTTCTTGAACTCATGGGAAGATCTTAAACTGTTTGAAACATTTTACTTTACTCGAGGCCGAGTAAAGAACTATGTGTGGGGGAGTTGATACACATGTAATTTCCGTGTGTATGTTTACGTTTTTAGTTAGTTTTGGTTGTTTAATATTTCGGAAATTACATACTTTTGGTGTAATAGTTATGTTTGTAATTTAGTTGTAATTCATTTAGATTAGGATCATTCTGAGCTTAAACAGGTCCAAGATCAGTCAAATGATCATTGGTGAAGGAAGGTGCAAGAGTTCAAGACAAAAAGGAGGCAAAATCCTGATTTTTGACCTGTACCCGGTCGAGTATACCATATACTCGATCGGGTACCAACTGTACTTTCAATCAGATCAATCAGGAGACCAAAGGGTGTGCAGGGGAAGATTTGGCCACGATCAATTGTAATACCCGATCGGGTACACCTATATACCCGATCGGGTATACCTTTTATTTTCACTCCGAATTCGATCGAGTAAGCCTCAAAACTGCACTTTTTACACATACCCGATCGGGTATCTATATATACTCGATCGGGTATCCGAACTGCACTTTCAAAAAGCCTATAAATACACCCCCTTCCCTTCACAATTAGATACCAATTTCCTTTATACTCTTAAGCTCAGTTTAGAATATCATTTCTTTATATTTCCTTCTAGCATGTTTAGTCTCCAAATGAGGAACTAAACTTCCATTTCTTGGTATTGCTCCTGAAGCTTGTTGATTATTAAAGTTGTGAGTTATTTTCTTAACTTCATTCCTTGAATATTAATTCTTCCTTTAAATACTATTTCTATATCAATGTTGGGGAGTGTTACTAAGATGACAATTAGTTAACATCTTGACATTGGTCTTATTAATAGCTATTCCTTCCGATATGTTAATATTGGGGAGTGTTACTAAGATGACAATTAGTTAACATCTTGATATTAACTATAGTAGGATTCATTTTCTTTAATATTCTTCCTTGAGTATTAATTAATTCCTATTCATATTTCATATTAATATTTTGAACATTACTTAAAGGATCAACTAGTTTTGTTTCATATATTAATTATTACTAGAAACGATCAACGAACCGATGGTTAATCGTTGATAGTTTCACAAGTAAGTAACTTCGGTTTATTAATGCATGGTCGTGGTTAATAAACTTAAGAGGGATTAATTTTGTTGCTTAAACCGAAACCGTTGTGTTGAGGTTATCAATCTCAATTGATTTCATCTAGGAGTTAAGAGATTAAATGCTACTATCAAGTCGGTATATGGCGTTGTTCTATACTTGACTAATAGTAAGGGTTATTAATGAACGGTCGTTGTTAATAACTAACCTTGATGAATTGGGTATACTCCTCGATTGAGTATTCGAGAGGAGATAAGTTATAGATATGATCGACTAAAATATATCAACAAGTGGAAAGTAGCAATGCCAAGTCCTTTTTATCTTTGAATTAAATCACATATAACTCGTTCATCTTCGTGTTTAATTTTAATTAAATCACTCAATCCCAAAACCCCCCTTATTTACTTGTTTTACTAAAAAGAGAATTATTCCTTTCCCTGTGGATACGAACTCTACTTCGCTATACTACGTATAAGTGTTAGTATTGAATTTATTTTGAGTGCACAGACAACAAAGTGCACGTCATTTTCCAAATTTGGAAAACTAGTAAATGTCACTTCTCCAAATCATTAAGGAAAAAAGAAACATGTCTCAATTTTTTCGTTTTGGAAAACGATTTGGTAAACGCGTTTTTCTTTTTTTCTTTCTCCAGATTTCCAGCAATTTCTTTGGTAAACACGTTTCCTGTTTTCTATTTTCCAGTTTTCCAGTTTTTTTGGAAAACTGGAAAATATCTCTGTTAGTAAACAGGCCCTTACACTTTTGGTTTTCTTTCCCTTTTCAAGTGGTCCCTTAAGGCGGTTTTTGCGAGGTGCACCCTTTCTCTTGGATCTTTTCAGGCCAGGAATGGTTTGCATGAGGGCAACCTCTACACGTGGGACAGTGTCAGGTAGTTCAGTCATCACACCAAAAATAGAAGATTTAGAGATGGAGCTTGTATTTGCACTTATTTGGTCCTCTACCCATTGCATGACAATGTTATACTTGTCCTCATCATCAACAATGGTGTTGGCTAGTTTTTCAAAATTGTTGCATAATTGGTGAAATCTAGCTTGTTCCACCGTTGTGACCTAACCGTCGTAATTGATTTTAACACGTGTGTATTGTCTCTTGACGTCTCTTCTTCACCTTCTCATTATATAAAAGTCGGGAAACATATTTTTGATTCCATTTGAAAGGAGCACAACCACCAAATGACGACACATGATACCCCTAAATTCAAACAAATGGCAACTACACACGCCATGACCACTTTCACGGTTGAACTCAACCACATAGTTCATGCACTTGTCAAACCCATTTGGCAATTGTTTGTCCTCGCTCACGTGATATTGTTGGTCTTATGGGAGATCAGCACCACCCTTTGATTCAGGGCTTAACCGCCCAACCTGTTGGCACCACAAAGTGGTGCAGCCCCTCATGTCCATCCACCGCTCAGTAGTGGGGCTCTGCACTGCCGTAGTGAACTGTGGGGGGTGCCCCACAGGAATCTACCTTGACTTGGGGACTACGGAGTAATGGGTTAAATAGAGGGTGTCCACTTCCTTATCACCAATTGGTTTTAAGAAAGATATGGCTGCTATTTAACCACAGAACTCTGGAGTTAAGCGAGCCCGAGGTAAGAAAGCCCAAGGATGGGTGACCCACTGGGAAGTTTGTCGACAAGGGGTGAATCGATCCAACAAGTGGTATCAGAGCGAGGTCACAGGTGAATCTCTCGGCTGGTGCTGGGGGGGGGGTGATTGTTGGTCTTATGGGAGATCAGCACCACCCTTTGATTCAGGGCTTAACCGCCCAACCTGTTGGCACCACAAAGTGGTGCAGCCCCTCATGTCCATCCACCGCTCAGTAGTGGGGCTCTGCACTGCCGTAGTGAACTGTGGGGGGTGCCCCACAGGAATCTACCTTGACTTGGGGACTACGGAGTAATGGGTTAAATAGAGGGTGTCCACTTCCTTATCAGCAATTGGTTTTAAGAAAGATATGGCTGCTATTTAACCACAGAACTCTGGAGTTAAGCGAGCCCGGGGTAAGAAAGCCCAAGGATGGGTGACCCACTGGGAAGTTTGTCGACAAGGGGTGAATCGATCCAACAGATATGTTAGACCATCTTCACTATGTAGGTCACAAGAAATCTTGCCAACCACTTCAGTTTGAAACTCTTTAAATTTGTCAAGGGTATAAAGCTCTTGAACTTGTTTTTCCATGCCGTAGATAGTAATGCATGAAATGTTTTTAGAAAATGACTTTGCATCAGCTTGAAATTCTAGTTCGACTTTACTTCGCAATGCCCGCCCATATTGTTCAACAAATTGTTTAAGAGATGTTTTCGAATTAACGTATTCATCAAAAAATGCATTCATGCTCTCACTACGTTGTGTGGTAGACATGTCTGCCCAAAATGTTGTCTTAAGAAAACAAGGGACCCAACGAGCTCTTTCATTGTACATTGTTGCAAGCCAATCATTGTCTTGTAGAGCAAACCTGTAAAATTGAAATGATTTTTACAAATTCATTTAAGCTACACTGACCCTTTCTGTCTGTGAAACGCAAAACGTGCCGGCAAGGTTTTTTAGTGGCAGAAGGTCCTAGGGATGAAGTAAGCTACACCGACACTTTCTGTCTGTGAAATGCAATAAGTGTCGTTACGGTGTCTTTAAGTGGCTGAAGGTCCCAGGCATGAAATAAGTCACACCGACACTTTCTGTCTGTGAAATGCAAAAAGTGTCGGTAAGGTGTTTTTAGTGGCAGAAGGTTATAGGCATGAAGTAAGCTACACCGACACTTTCTGTCTGTGAAAAGCAAAAAGTGTCGGTACGATGTTTTTAGTGACAGAAGGTCATAGGCATGAAGTAAGCTACACTTACACTTTCTGTCTGTGAAATGCAAAAAGTGTCGGTAAGGTGTTTTTAGTGGCAGAAGGTCCAACGCATGAAATAAACTACACCGATACTTTTTGTCTGTGCAATACATAATCTATATGTAAAACATAAAAAGTGAAACTTAGTTTATGAAAATTGGAGTGTACCTTTCGAGCATGACTTTCCAATCTTCCTCAAAGGTCGCAACGTACTGAGAATCATAAACGGCATCATGTATAGCTGTCATGATATCATCTTTGTGTACAAGTCCACCCATCTTTTCAGGTAACTTCTTCATTATGTGCCAGAGACACCATTGGTGCCTTGTGTTTGGGAAAATGATTTGGATGGCATTTTGCATGGCCCATTGGAGCATAACCATCCATACACTCAAGCCATCTATCTCTATATAAAAAGAGGTGAAAAACCAGATTGTTTTGCCACTCAAAAAAGTCACATCAAATAGAGGGAGAGGTGGGCCAAGCCACACAATTATCTGGAGGTTAAAACTATGCTTTCTATCCGATGTTAATTATCTCTCGGTTGAATGCGGGTCACCCACGCAGACTGGTCAACCTGGGGAATAGTGTACTGCAGCATTCAAAGGACTGACATTCTAGGGAGCTAGGAGGCCTAGACAAAATTGCTTTGAAATCAATACGGAGCATTTTCAAAGGCTGTTCTGAGAACACCTAGAGTCGTGGTCTGAGCAGAAAATTTTCTATTACTGCGTACGTAAGAAAGCTTGCTGGACAGTTTATGCATTTCTTCTTGAAATGCATTTCTTTTGAGAAGGAAACTGATGGCAGACCATTGAAATTGTAGGGGTTTTTTAGGGGGGTGAAGGTGTTTTGTGTGAGGCCTTCTGCAAAAGAGTGCATCGTGCGCGGAATAGCATGCGAGAGGCCGGCAGAGGGTAGCACACGAGTGGTCAAAGCAGGATAGCATGCGAGTGGCCGGAGCAGGATAGCATGCGAGTGGCCGGAGCAGGATAGCATACGAGTGGCCGGAGTAGGAGTCTTGGGTCGTGGGCGCCGTCGTTGACTTGGCCTGCAATTCAGCTTGGCCGCCTGGGAGAGTAGGCGGGCTGTTTGGCAGATGCAGGCGGCGCGGGCAACAGGTGACGACCAATGAGTCGGGTGACCTTTGTGTCTCTGGGCTTTACTTAGGGTCTAAGACTTGCGGTCTTCATGAAGAAGAAGACATGTTTCTTCGGGTATTGGACTTACGGTATGTACGTCTGGCTAGATTATTTTGAGCCTGTTACAACTGTAATTTTTAAATGTCAATCACAAAAAAAAATCTGACAAACATCACAAGGGCTGCTCAAGTGCTCAATACTCTTACTAAAAAGTTGGTATATTCTGAATATAATATGGAGTATATTGTTACAGAGTAAATGTGCCAAATGTCGGGATTGGGGAGATACTTGTCTTAACTGCATATGGGTTTCGTATTTGGGCCAAATGTGCTTAGGTTAATTTCTTAAGTTAGATACTCTTTTCACTCTTCATCAGCACTACTTTGATTTCAGATTCATCTGACTTGACATTTTAAAGGTGACAACTCCGGTACCTTAAACGGGGTACCGTACCTACCATTCATTTGATTGGACCACATCACTTTATCATTTTTTATTTAGATTTAAATAATTTAACTGCTACATTCTCATTGGTCCATATGGACAAATGTATGGTACCTTATGGGTATCATAGAATCTACCTATTTTAAAACAAATACTCATATTATCTTTAGTACTCCATTAATAAGTTAACAACAAATACTACGTATAATTTAAAGTTGTTTCTTATTTAGTAGAAATAATAAGAATGCTCAGTTTTGAAGAACTTCTTATTTATTTAAAACTACAAATTGTTATGTAAATATTGAGGGGTTAATGGGTCTTAATTGATTCCCGGGTTTATCATGTACTCCTTCCGTCCTTCAGACTTGATTTTTTTTAAGTTTTAGAGAAGATAATTTTCAACTTCGATGACATGTTTTTCATGATACGGGGTAAAACTTTTCATTATGTATTTAATTGACATTTTTTTGCAATGTGCTTATTCTATATTTTTATGTATAATGAAACTCTTATTAAATTTTTTGCTTAATTTTTCTATCCGTGCATCGCACGAGTGAGATACTAGTGTTTTGAACAACCATACGAATGTTGATATATCCTCACTAGAAATGATTCCACAACCTAATAACATTGATTGCCTATGATGCATGTTAACACCAACAAACGGCGCAAAAGGCATGTCGTAGCAGTTGGTGAGATATGTCGTATCAAATGTAATCACGTCTCCAAAATCCTTGTATGCATGTCGACACCTATTGTCCGCCCAAAAAACATTACGCAAACGTGAATCTTCATCCAAGTCAATCGAAGAAAAAACCTGGACATTGAGCTTGCATTTTTGTAAAAAAACCTTGGATGGCCATTGCATCCCCATCTCCTAATCTAAGTTGTCGAACTTTTTCTACGTAGTTCCTGCAGTCCTTTTCAATGAAAAGAAGTTGGTCATATCCTCCAGCTTCTACAACCGCGGATTTGAAAGTTTTACAAAGACGTATTCCAGCAACGTCATTTACATCGATTTGGTGCCTAATTTTCATTGTCAACTTCCTATTAAAACGGAATAATCTAGACTTCGTGGGACTCATAGGATGATTATGGTTCAAAAAAACTTGTGATATTACCCATGAGCCAGCATAATCTGTCTTTGCTCTTATTCTCGCTAAGCAACCATTTTGCATGGAAGGTTGAGGTTTCAAACAATTTTTCAACCTACTACCTCTTTTGCCTGCACGTGAGCACTCTACTACAAACGCGATCAAGTTCCCTTCTTTACCCTTCTTTGAAGTGCGGTGTCTAACAAGAAAGCCAACACTTTTGGCATACTTTTTATAGAAATCATAAACTGCATCTTTTGTAGGAAGCTCCATGCCTATCTTTGGAATTTGTTCACATTCATCAGCATTGTTATCTCCATCTGCTCACATAATCAAATAATTATTTTACATTAACTCCTTCATAGATACAACAGTCATCTTTGCAGGTATACATTATTGTAGTAGAGTATATATTAACAATATTCATAGATAAAATCATTCTTCATAGGTATACATTAACAACATTCATACATCAAAGACTTGTTTGTAAGTATACATTAACAACATTCATACATACATTAACTCATTGTGCATAGATATAACACTCATCTTTGTAGGTATACATTAAATTATAGGGTATATATTAACAACATTCATTGATAAAATCAATTTTTATAGGGTATACATTAACAACATTCATATTTTTATAGGGTATACATTAACAACATTCATACATTAAATACATCTTTGTAGGTATACATTATACATTAACAACATTCATAGATACAGTAATTCATATTTGTAGGTATACATTAACTCATAGATACATTAGTTGTCGGTACACACCGACACTCATATTTGTAGGTATACATTAACTCATAGATACATTAGTTGTCAGTACACACCGACACTGAGTATGTAAGCTGTCTGTGTGTGTCAAAGAAAATACCTCTACCATCTGCGTTCGTCTTCCTCCTGCTACTTCCTTCCCGTCAAAGCTGTCATCATCATGGCCGTCAAAGATCAGAACTTCGTTGCCACCTTGTGTCGCAGATCTGCCACCCATCGCACCTAAGTCTTCATCCCCAACTTTGTCCGTAGCTCCATCTTCTTCATTCACAAATCCACCATTTTCGTCCTAGCCTCCGTCGCAGCTCCATCTTGTCCGTTCACAGGTCCACCATTTCTGACGTTTAGAGCTTCTTCGTTTCTTCCATTTCCGATCTCCATCGTCTGTCGCAGGTAGGAATCGTCCAATGCTCTGTCGTTTCCAGTCCCCTCTTCATCCACCATCAAATATGCTAGAAAACCATCCATGTTATTTGCAAAAAAAAAAAAACAGAGACAAAGGCGGGAAGAAAGAATGAACAAAGGTGAAGGATGGGGAGAGAAAAAACGTGTGTAAGAATGGGGAGGGGAGGGCTGTGCGAGTGAAAGGGGTAGAGAAAGCAGTAAATAAGTGAGCCTTGTATATGGTGTACCCGGGGTGTAACCCAGGGTGTACACCAAGACTTTTTTATATTGCAGTGGCAACTTAACATGTGCTCAAATTCATAGGTATTCACCCCGTGAGGTGGCTTTGTCGCCTTGAGCATGCAAATAATGTCCGGTTAAATTTTTTTATAATTAGATCAAAGTTCTTGCTAAAAGCTTGAAGACATTAATAAAATTGAATAGTTTTGGTATTACTTTTATTTTTAAAAAATATTGACAAAAAGTTGTTGTCTGATGGAATCACAGTTGACCTCCCTAAAATGAGGTTCGTTTTAGGTTCGAGTTCCATTTCAATTCTCAATCAAGAATGTCATCTTTAGCTTGAGCAAATACTATAATAGATTTAGGGCGTGTTTGACATTCAACGATTAGCAATTACTACCTCTGTCCCTTAAAACTTTGCCAAGTTTGACCGACACGAGGATTAATAAAGTAAAAACTGTGTGATTGAGGTTTGTGCAGATGAGAGAAAATTAACTGGAACCACAAATTCATTACTTAAAATAGAAAGTGACAAAGTTAGTGGGACATCCAAAAAAAGAAATTTGACAAAGTTTCAAAGGACGGAGGGACTAGCAGATAGGGGGAATGTTAGCGGGTTGTCAATAGTGGATTCGGTCAACATGTTTGATTTAGCGGAATAAATTGGCGGATTGTCCAAAGATGTTTGATATTTAGCTGTTTGGCTACAAATTTAGTAGAAAATGCCATTTTTCAAAACGCCAACCAAAAACTCTCTTATTAGCAATATTTTCATTTTAGCGTTCCTATTCAAAAACACTGGTACCGAACAACTATTTACCAAACAATTTTTTTACTTATTAAAAATGCCAAAAGTGATCAAACTGCTATTTTTCAGTTGAAACGCGATTTACCAAACACCCCTAGAGGATGTGCTAAAAAATAGGGAAAAGTAAATGTAGTTAGATTTCTGAGTTTATGATAGTGTTGGATATACTTTATGCATCCCAACATTTTTGTCTTGTCTTTATTTTTTCAGTCGTGCCACCAAGCCTATCTAATGTTATCTTTTATAAATAGTATGAAGTATTAACATGACATAGTTAATTAGACAATAACTAAATAAGGTGATTCAATTATATTTTGAGAAATAATTTTGATGGTTATATAATATAATGATGTCATTAATGATAACTGTGGTGTTATAAATATACTACGTATTATAATAATATGGGATAATTAAATGTCAATTAAGAGTGTTAACTGCTTCCTAAAATAGAAATTAGAATGTTTACCTAGGATGTCTAAAAGTGAGAACCTTAGGCTAAGACGAAAGGAGTAATACGATTCAAAATACCAGCCTTATCGACCAACTTCATTTACCAAACATGTATATTCTTATATAAAATTCCCGAAATAAGAGTCAAAATGTTTTAAAATTTTAAAATATGACTGTCATATTTTTATTTCATAAATAGAAGCAGTTATTGCTAAGTTTAGAAAATATTGCGATGTTTATAGTTTGAACTGCCAAAATGTGACAACAATTACTTATATTTAGGGAATAAAAACATGAACAATCCTATTTTGGGATACACAAAAGTTTTTAGTGCTATTTAGCGTAGTTTCTAAATTTTTTATTTGACGCGCTAAATTGTTCAACGATCAAAATAAGTAAATTTTGGATTACTTTTATGGCTAAAACTGATGAAGATGATCATTTTAATTATTTTCATATAAAATTTTCATTAGTGTTTTTACTATTTCTTTAATTTATTAATATTTTTTTTCCCCAGAATGTGGTAGATTTAGTTCATTCACCATTTCTCCCGTTTCAGTAATAATATCATAAGTTTCTACACGTTTAACTAATTCAACTAATTTGAATTTTACAAAACCGTCTCTCTAACTATCCGCAATTTATTGGAGCAGATCCTTCGTAAGTTTAGAAGGATATGCAAAAAAATGTCCATAATTTACATATATAATGTTAATCACGTTAGTTTTTTTCCGGGTATCATTTTCACAATTTAACATAGGCATGGAACGAGTCCCAGGTCTCGGTTTCTATTTTTCGAAACTGGGAACTGGCTTGAGTATTAGGGTCCCGGTCTGGTCCTGGGTACCTGGCCAGTCCTGGACTCGGTCCAAGACGGGTTCCGGCTTATTTTTTTTAATTTATTTATAAATATTATATTAATACAAACAAAAAACTATTAAAAATGAAATATAAGCTTATTTGAAACATTAAATCATCTTGTACAATTACAAAAAAACTACTCATTTAAAAGATGTTACATAAATTTCAATTATAAAAAAATGTCCTACTCTTCGGAACTCCCACTTGCGGTGACGGTAGTCGTTTCCTCCATTAATTAAGTGGCGTGACGGTGCTATTTTTAGTTCTTGAATTCATTTGAAGATCTTCAACCAATCATGGAAACACACGCATCTCAAGAGATTGTGCGCTCAACCTTGTTTTATAATTGGTTAGTACGATGTCGGTTTCACTAAACTCTTGTTCTATATATGGCAACCGTTGAAACCAGCATGGACATGACTTGTTTGACCATTGTTGATAAAATCAGAAACATTGTTTATTTTTCATTCCACCATTTAAGAATGTCAAATTCTTCCACTTTTTCATACTCACACGGAAACGTTACATACAAAGAAATCTCGTTAATCGAGCTTTGTCAAACGGTGGGAGTGGATTTAATATTTTCAAAAGATTTAATATTGTTGATTCAAAAAGACTTTTTCCTTTAGATGAAGAAACAAGTTGTTTTCGTGGGAGGGGTACGCTAGCATATTGTGTATGAAACTCATTTAAAATATGTGGCTAATATTGAAATGTAACTAATATGAAATTAAGACTAATATTGAGATAATAAGATGTGAGTATGTAATTGGTATAATATGTAATTTAAGATTGTGACTAATAATATATTAAGATAAAATGTTAATATTTAATAGTATACTTAATGTATATAATAAATTGTTAATAGTATATACTCCGTAGTATACTACTGATAGATAAAAGGGTATCCAAACATATATATAAAATGAAGAGTTGAGCTCAAGGGAGAAGATGATGAATAGTGATGTTGTATTAGGAATTATGTTGTTCTGGGTTTACAAGGCCTCCACTTGAGAGTATAAATAGAGAAATAACAAGCCGGACCGCTAATATGGGCCCGATAGGTCCAACTATATAAAAGTGTAATCTAGTAGATACAAATGATATATGCACAGTACAATAATACAAATGACATCTGATAAGCGTGCGTGACCGTTGTCTAGGCCCAATAGTCGTGAGACCCGGGGGTCTGAGTCTATATACTCTATCAACTACATATAATTATACCACTATGAGATGAGTAGTATAATTATATTTAGTACTTTAATACATATATTTAATATATATATATATATATATATATATATATATATATATATATTATGTAATTATATTTATTTAGATATGTGTAGTATAAATATATTTAATCAAATGTTAATAGTATACTACCTCCATTCTTTGTAATTGAAACATATTGATTTTCATGTTTGACAACAAACAACTTTGACTGTAATTATATTTAATTGCATATTAATAACCATCATAAAAATTAATATTTTGGAAATTCACATGAATAGAAATTTAATAACATTTTATAAGTAATAAATTGATGATATAGCTCGTATATGGTATTGAATTTCTAACTGAAGGTTTATTGAGCGGACGGAGCCTAGGGTTAGGCGTAGAGCTTGAACAGTCTTTGGCAGAGGAGGCGGTTTGGACGGCAGCATTGCTTGGCCTTCGTGAGGATTGGAGCGGCGATTACGTCTAAGGCAAGGGTTAGGCTTATGCCTCGACAGATTGGGGTGGCGAAGAAGTGTTGCGGATGTCTGTGTGAAGGAAGCATCCCTCCTAGGGCGAAGGCGGCTGTGGATAATTTGTCTTCTGGGCAGACCTTTGATTTGGAGATGGAGGCGAACTATGAGCACAACGAGATGGAGAAGTTGGCCCAAACGTACGAGTATATGGAGATGGACAAAGAAGATGAGACTATATTTGCTAGAAGCCATGAATTCGGGTGCAGCAGATGGAGTATAGAGAGTGTCGGCACCATCACATCGGAGAAGTCGGGTATGGCTGGTGGAAAAGTAGTGTTCTTAGCAAGTAGACGATTGATAACGGGTGACAGTTTTTGGGAAACGCAGAGTTCGGTCGGTTATGAAGTATCAATCATAACGGTCCTGATTGACCGGCCTCCTCCTGAACCACCACCATGGAATGAAAGAATTGAAGTTTTGGCTATTCGTGGAATCAAGAATAAAGGAGTTTGGCAAGGAGTGGATATTAATATGATTTACTTCAAACTGGAAGAACCCAACATTTAGTTTGCCTTTTATCTTCCAGTTTCCCTTTTATGTTGGGTTCTTTGTGGATTACGCGTTTATGGTGGGTAGGTTTTTTTATGCTTAGAAGTAAATACTAAGAAGGCTTCAAAAGCTGAGTTAATCTTCGAATCTCTCCAAGCTTAGCGAATCGATATGCTCTAATTAAAGTGATTGTTTCTATGTCTAATCAAAGAGTGAGGTGACCTTTGGGTTATGGTGAGTCTGGTAGCAGGATACTGATTAGTATCAGAAAGTTTGCAATGTTGTTGATTTCTTGCATTTAATATAGACAATACCTTTCAAAAAAGAAAAATAATAATAATTTGATGATATATATTAGTATATAATCATGCCCAAAATAAGATGTGTAATCAATGCAAAAAGGAAAAACTGAAAATAGTCATCATAACTAGTGTCAGTTCGCTCACAATAATCGTAACTATTGATTATATCTATATAATCCCAACTATATGGACCGTCTATTATAGCAAGTCAATTTTAAATAGAAATAAACATATTCTATAAATAGTCCGAACTATCTGTTTAAATTTCAAAATGAAAGATTAATAAATTTAAAAACGTATTGCGTAGAAATATTTATTCAAAAATAAAAAAAAATTAAATTTTAATTTTTATTTTAATAAAAATATAAATACTCGTAGTTGTTTTTGGGTTCTTTTACAAATTCATGATTTTTTTTTATTTTTAACTAATTTTAAAACGATTTAATATTTTAGGATGATTAGCTTTTAAAATTTTAATATTTAGAAAAAAGTATTATTATTTTTTATGTTTTGCACTTTTTAATCTTCAAAATCAAGGTTTTCATTTTTTGAATTTGAATTTGTACTTAATTTTCAATTTCATTTTTCATTTAAGGTTTTATATTGATCTTTTTACTCTATTTGTCACGTCCCAGACCACAATCCAAGCGCGTGTACAACCGCCGTATAATCAAGTGACGTCACCCACGAGTCAACCTCACTTAATTACACAAGGCGTCCTAGAAAACAATCCATCCATACTCAGTAGTAAACATACATAACAACATCACATTTAAACCAATGAATAGCGGAAATATTCAACGGTAAGTCATGAGCCACAACCGGCCAACAACATGGGCATGCAAGCCCCAAAAATAGTTTATAGTAAAACAAATATCCATGAGCAAGTGTTCGGTAGTTTGAAAGAAAATAAGGAAGCACGAACCACGTCTTCCCGATATGATACCACCCGTGAGAAGGTGCAAGTAGCAAGCCCTAGCTTCAACCTGAAAATGGTGGGCCTCCCCGAAGGGGTCAGTACAAGTACCGAGCGAGTAGCAGGCTAAATATAGAATAACTAGCGTTTCAAGTATAAGACCCAAACATAGGGTGATACTTAAATAAATAGTCTTTCCCCCAAGTTATGAAATACTTATTAGTATATATATATATATACTTGGAAAATATCCGATCCGTAGATCACCATTTTATTTGGGAAAAATAGTAATAGTCAATATTCTTGACTAAAAACCTCAACCCACCCATATACCTATGAGTGTATAGGACTCCTCCTTGTCCCTAATTGTATATCATAATCTATGAGTTTTAGGATCATAATCCTTGGATACTCCACCGGTTTGTGAGTGTTAAGGACTCATAAGTCCTAGGGTCCTCCACCATGTTTTGAGTGTTGAGTACTTTTAAGTACTAGGGTCCTCCACCAAGTTTTGAGTGTTAAGTACTTTTAAGTACTAGGGTCCTCCACCAAGTTTGAGTGTTAAGGACTTTAAGTCCTAGGGTCCTCCACCAAGTTTTGAGTGTTAAGTACTTTTAAGTACTAGGGTCCTCCACCAAGTTTGAGTGTTAAGTACTTTTAAGTACTAGGGTCCTCCACCAAGTTTTCCTATGATCAACCTTCTATCAACCTAGATAGAGTCTATATCATACTTAGTTACTGATAACTAATTCAATACATCAAGCTTATGTATCACAAATCATGCAAAACCATGCATTTATATAGATTTATAATTAATTAATACCAACCGGTATTAATTAAATCCTTTGTCCATCGGTCAACGTTTTCGTTGACCGCCATCTCATGCCTTGTGTGTATCAACTTAATCATCATATAATTAAGTTAATAATATTCATTTGTGCTTCTAATACACTTCCAACCAATATGCATTTCATATAATTCTTCATATCACATTCCATGCATCAACAATTAATTTCTTTCATACAAACTTAACCCTATCGGCTAATCACATGTTTAAATATCTTTTAAACATCATTATGAACTCATATAACATTTATTTAGGTAATCTCATAATTAATCCAAAAGTTATAAGATATTAAGCCGTCCACTCACCTTGAACTAGCGTTATGAAGTTCTACCCTTCTTGGTTGAACTCCGGTGAAACTCCGGCGACTTTTGGTCAACTCCGGCGACAACTCCGGCGACTTTTCCAACTTTGTCAAATCACTTGAAATACCCTTTACAAGTGCCTAACAAGGTTTTATAATCATAAAACCCATATTAATACAAACAACCTCAAAAAGGTTATTTTCCGGTGAACCGGTAGTTTTGGCATCTAAGTCCGTTTTTTGGACTTAGAACCATCTTCCAACCCATTGTTCAACACTTATATCATGTAGAACAATACTAAGGGTACCTCATATGATATATACCTCATATGGTAGAAGAAAAATAAAGGAAAAGTTATAATAAGGTCATTACCTTAATTCTACACACTTTTCCTAGTCTTTTTCCTTCTTTAATCCCACTCCTTGGACCCTTCTTGGTTGAGCTCGAGTTGCAGCAATGGAGGAGGGTTGGAGAGCTTTTTCTTTCTCTTTCTTGGGTAGCTTGGTCGAGTACAATGAGGAGGAAGGAGGGGGATGGGTTCCTTTTTGTCTCATTTAGCTAATAAGTGAGAGAGGGATCCCTTTGGTGTCTCTCAATGTCTCACCCTCCCATCATGTGTACTATTGGCCTTCCTTTGGTCAATTTGAGCACACAAAAACGTGGGGTGGCCCCCACTCATGTGGGAGGTCATCCCTTTGTGTCCCGGTGTGTACAATTGGTCCCGAAAGTTGTATTTTTCGGACTGTTTTAATCATATTTTATTTTATAGGGTAAAATAAAATATATTACGTGTTCCCATTCGTAACGACACTTTGAAATAATATATATTCCAAACATTAATTTAGAAGTCTCCAAAATTCATTTTCGGGCTCAAGTCTGTTAAATTGTCGGTACCGGTATTTGGGCCTCTTTTGCCCAATCGGCCAACACAGGGCCTTTCCACGACCCAAGTAAAATATCCACCACCATATAAATATTATCTTGCCCAAGATGAATAAAATATGTGGTCTCAGGAATGTTGGGTGGTCCCCGCTCCCGATGTGGGTCCCACGTGCAATTTACTATTCACGTGAAAGACAAAATAAAATTTTACAACTCCGTAAATTCATTAATCCTTTAATAAGGTTCAATACATTATTTACATAAAAGTAAATATATTTGGGGACGTTGTTACACTATTTATTTATATATTTTTATATTCTTTATATATCTATAATATCTTACGTACATCGTATGATAAAATTTTAATTTTGAAATTTATAAAAATTTCTCCATATTCTTTAGTTATATATTTCACATTCTTTGATTCCATACTCTACCTAAAAAGTTAATTAATTAAAAATAAATATTTATTACTCCCTTAATTAAAAGATCAGTAAATTTGTTCTTGACACATACGAAGTATATTTTAGGGGAAATAGTAGCAGTAATGAATAGTATAAAAAAATAGGAGAGAAGGTGAAAAAGTAGAGAGAAAAAGATAAAAAGTAGAAAAAATAAGGGTCATTGAATATTTTAAATGAAAAACTTACCAAAAGGAAAAATGCAGCAAAATTTTAAATACATCTCAGACATAAAAGTATACCAAACTTTTAAATATAGAGGGTGTATCTTTTTTATCATTTGTATTTATTTATGGAAATTTAATTTAATCTTTTAGATCTAATAAAAGTCAACAGATGATAGTTTGAATTATTATAATATGATATTTCTTTATTAATTGACCGAATATGTAGCTTGTCACGTGCCACCATTATTGGCGGAAGATCGATGAAAGTAAGGATTATTCGGAAATGACTGAAAGTTGGAATTATTATGAGGGAACTGCCAATAATTGAGATTATTATTATAAAGTTTTCCTTTTTAAATATATTACACACATGTTAGTCATTCCGGCAATAGTTAACTCACTTCCTTTTCCATATAACACTTTGATGATCTAATAGTGGTACATTTTGTAACACTTAAAGACCAATGTTACTTGAACTGATTCTTTAGAAGTAAGAGTGAAAAGGGTCACTGAATTACAGTCAAGATACTATGGAGTACGATATACGAAGAACTCCGTAGTAGGCATCATCGACGTTACCACTTCTTTGGTGCCAGTGAGTGTTTGCCCCCCCCCCCCCCCCCCCCGATATACTACAAATTAATATGTGGCCAGGTGATGCCAACCAATGGTTCGGATAGCACTCAGACACTGCCCAACTGGTTAGCATCGGCCAAACTGATGTAATAATAGAAATGACGACCGATAAACAGTAGTTTCTCAAAATGGAAAAGGTGCTTCCTAATGCGGTAAATGTGTATGCTGTACAAAACGGCTGCTAGAGTCACCAACATGAAGGATACCAATATCAACTCCCAGAAATCCTAAACAAAATGCAACACAAGTATTTATATGTATGTATGTATGTAATGCAGGTAAACAATTGGTTAATTAAACTC